AAGGAAAGCTGAGATAGTACCTGTCCCAGCGGCAACCATTGTGATGGGAATCGTCGGGAAGATAGATGGAAGGTTGCCTAGGCCTGGGAGGCTCGCGGCCGAGCCCAAACTGAATGACGACTGCGGCGTGTTTCGCGATCGAGAAAGATGACCACAGTCCACCATGGAACTGGGGGATCTTCCACGCCAGCACTCAACTTGGCTGCATGAGAGTCCAGCCGTGGACTGGGTAGCGCGGAGAACGATCAACAGGCGCGGAGAGTAGACACCTCAGAGAGAATGGGTGACAAGCGGACGACCCGCCCGCCGCGCCGATTCGCCTCGTTTTCGAGTATCAACCCGCTCCTGAGAGTCTCAGGCGCAACGGAACAGCGGATGGTCTGGGTGGCCCGGTTGGCGAACGGTTCGGCCTGCAGTGGACTCTGTTCCACAAAACGCGACGGCGCCGGGCCCAATTCTCACGCGTTGCGCTTGAGACTTTCAGGATGAGGCGGAGCAACGATCTCCTCATCCTCCTGAGAGTCTCTAGCGCAACGGACTAGCGGTTGGGTCTGGGTGGCCCGGTTGGCGTTTTCCGAAGCCAGCGGCGTGCAGGCTCGCCTTGCGCGCGTTCAGCTTGGGAGAATGGCCCCGAGTAGCGACGCCAAGTGCGCGCACCCCCTACGAATCCCGAGCGAAACGACGCAGTCGTCATCCCGCAGTGCCCACTTTCATCCGGTAAGTCATTCCATTGTTGGGGTCAATAAAGACTCACCTTGGTGGATTCTCCAGCCGACGTCCTCCCTCCCTTCTCCCTCCCCTTCCCCTCCCTTCCCCATCCACGCTCTTCCCTCCCTCCCTCCCTCCATCGTCCGCGGTCCGTCGTTTGGCCAGCGATGACGCGTTGTCATCGTTGATGGCGATGGGAGTACTTAAAGGCAAGGTGAGTTGTGACGATGCGACAACTCACCTTGCCTTAAACCACCACCACCGCCATAAACAACGCCTAACAGGTCAGTTCTTCTCTTGTTTTTCAACTGTGTTCACTTACATTGGGTAGATGAACCATCTACCCGGACTAGAAAGTCGCGCACACGCGGAGGCGCGCGTCCTGAACGAGGTTTGCACCCCCTCCACTCATCCACATTCGCTGACGCGAAACCCAGCCGCTTCACCGTCGTTCGCGCTTCGCGACCATCCTCGCCACCCTTCGACGCCTCTTGGGCTTGGCCCAGCCCACCGCGATCGACACCTCGATCGTGTAAGGTACGAAGGTCCACTTTCTGTGTTTTCACTCGTGCTAATCGCGTGTCCCAGCTAGAAACTCCAACCTTGGGGTCTACCCGGAGGTCCGACCCTTGGGGTCGACTCGCGGGTTGACTCGCAAGTCGCTGATATATGCACAGTTTCTACTACAATTTCTGAAATGTACATACTAATAGTATTAATCGCAATTTCTACCACAAATAAACTCGAGATTTCAACAATAGTTTCATTGTGCATTTTTGACCATGGCTTGCAAATCGCCATGCAGCTGGTTAGGAATGAACGATGTCCCGTGTCGGACATAGGCAGCGCAGAGCAGGAAGCTAAATTTGACGAGATACATTGTCTGTTGAGAGAGGGAGAGTATCGTATTGATGAATGACTGTAGTAGAGAGTCGAGGATCTCGCTAAATAAGCACAGAGCTTCATACTCTGCCTCCTGCGTCGCACTAAGGCTTGCTTTATCAATCTTTCGAATGTCGATGATAGCGAGAAGAAGTTTGACAGCGCGAGGTACATCTTGTGCGTCCGGCAGATTCAACAGGGCATGAATCGATACCTCGGACCAGTCATACCCGGGAATCAGCTCAAGCCAATGCAAGCATGTCGCGATTGATGCAGACACCTTTCACGACAGGTCCCTGGGGCGAGCGGATGGTCGTACAGATGTCTAGTTGAAGGTTATTGAGAAGGGAGAAGCAGACATTGATGAAATAAAAAATATACGTTTGAGCTCGTGCTTGAAATCGAAATCCATCGTAAGATTATTCTTCCCAGTGAACAGGTTTAGCCCGTACAAGTTCTTGACGAAGTCGTAAATTGGATTGCCTTCAATGACCTCGTGCTGTAGGCAGAGAACAAAGAAAGCAATACAACGTTTTGGATGGCCGTCTGAGGCAACAACAGTGATTGGCCCATGTTTTGCTTCACCGTCCGGCGAGCGTTCCCATGCCTCGAGTACCGTTGCTACAACCTGGACCATGTCTTTCCAGTCCCCCATCTTGCAAGAGGAACCAACAAACACAGGTTTAGCGCCATAGTCGGTTCTCGACAGCGGCGAGATAGCACCAACCGAGATGAGCTCAGCGACGTGGATTTTTTTTCTCCCGGACCAGACGAGCAGCAGTCTCGATTGGTGTGATGGTTTCGCCTATCCGTATGTCTGGGACCTCGAAAAGATGTTCGAGGCATAATCCACCCATTGCATCAAGTTCCGAGAAATAATCCACTGGCAGAGCGTCTTTTCTTGACGGTATTTGTGGAGTGTATTGCGACTTGGCAACGCGTAGGGAGATTTACTGAGTGCGTAGACGGCTGAGAGGCCACCAAGCTCGTAAACAATCATGCTCAAGTCAATCTCCCATGAGAAGTAGTTGGTTGGACGGTATTTATTCTCGACAGCAAGCCGACAGCGCTCCAAAAGTTTCTTCATGCTCCATCCATCCGCTCCAGCATGCGCTAGTATTCGATAGATGGCTGGAACAGGTTGACGACAGAGAAACTTGAGTAGCTCGTCATATTCGGCGACTTTCTTGTGGGCGGTGTCTGAGAGGCCTTGGAGATTCTGCTTCTGCCAATCGGTCATTCAAAGAATCAGAATCATGACCATCGCGCTTGCCTCGAGCTTTAAACGGTTGAGCTGATCGTCTTTCTCCTTTGACTTCGCGTTTGATCGCGTCCATGTTAGCTCCTCTGCACGATAGACACGGCTGAAGTCACGTTGAGCATGTTCTTGGAGCACATCGACGTCTGCACGAAGTTTCTCGCAACTTTAGCATGGGCTCCCGAAAATGAATGTGGTTCTCAGGCAGCGATCTGAGCGAATGCGGAGTGGATATGTTGATTCAATGTGAAATGGAAGGCGTCGAGAGGCCTATGTCGCATGAAGGTGATGTGGGTAGCTGTCCCAGAAGTCGCCGATTTCCCACTCGACAACCAGGGCGAAGCAGGGATATTGCGGCTGAGATACGAAGGCGAAGGGGGTCGGATTTGGATAAAAGGTGGCGCTATTCGTCGATGAAGATGGTGCGCAAGAAGTCGGGCTTGTTTGTTGAAGTGAAGAGCGTGTCAAATGGGCTTTTGTACGCCGCAATAGCGGTTTGACCCACTACTAGAGATTAGACTGGACGATGAAAGGTAAGAGCAATGAAACGCACCTTGGCAGACCTTCCCATCCACATGCCCCGCCCGAGATCCTGCACTCGTGTTCGTCTTGAATTCATAAAAGCATTTGGGGCAATAGTCGGTGATCGGCGATATTAGTGCATTAAGTTGAGAGTCTAGCGTAGTTTCGTGGAGTAGAGGCCGTGAAATCGATATGTACACATCGGAGCGTTCACAGGGTAGCTTGGTTGGTGGTTGTGAGCTCGACGACGCTGCTACATATGTACATGGAGCATCGAGTGGCGGCGGGTCTCCCACCGCTCAAAAGCGGGAGAAAGTGGTTGGAAGGTGTCGCAGAGCACGTCCGATGACCTGGACGCGCGAACTAGCCCAGCGACGCGTCAGGAAGGCGGGGTATGACCGCGTCGCTTGGTGGGAAGAAGCCAAAAGTAATTTACATCCGAATTCGTACACGTGATACAACAAGTTGTCGCCCGATGTCAGATTTGACACCCCTTGCAGCAGACAAGAAACCGCCGTGAGCATCATGATCAGGTAAGCGCTTGCCTAAGCCTCAGCCTACAATTTCTCAAGCAATCTTCTCCGACGCCTCTGCGCCCTCGAGTTATTTCGTAGCATAACGCTTCGATCAATGACCATCATGGTGAATGATATCAGGCAATGACGGACATTGGAGGCATGATGACGGACATGCAGTCACGATGATGGGGTGCCGCTGTCATTGCAATCTCATCACGGGGTTATGTCCAGTATGGTCAGTCATATGCACCAGCATTGTGGGCATTCTCCAACGTCGATTACGACGACATATTGGGTTTGACTGTCGTTGGAAACCATTTTGGGGAGTTGGTGGCGTATGACCACGTGGGCAACTACGCAAAACTTGTCGGTAGTCCACTCGGCCAAGATCATCTTCTTGAAGCCCACCGCACAGTCATTTCCGACTCATTGGATGAATGTGTGATATCCAGTGTAGGTCTCTTCTATTTCTCTCAAACGCGCATTGAATTTCTTGACAGTTGCCTTTTAATCTCAACATTTCTTTACCCGTCACTCGAACAATGCCCCACTCAGAGCTCGTGTGCTCTCGCGCAGGTAGCTGGGCACGAGACAACCTTGACCTTGACCCTCAGCGTTGGATACGCACTAATTTCACCGCCGACAATATCCCCAGCGAGGATGCCCGTTTTTTTAACTACCACTTATGGGAAGGGCAACCTGGGGATAAAGCTTGGTCACTGTTGCACTTGCATGGGTTCCCTGGCGAAGTAATACCACAGGCTTTCAGAATCTCCCAGGGTTATTCTGACACCGTAGAGAACGCCATGCTCTTTCGCCTCTCGCCGAATGGATCGAAGGACCCTCGGTCTCAGACTTTTTCATCTTCGCGATCGGTTGGACGCTACATGCTTCACGCCCAATGCATTCCTCTCCCAACCCAGTTCTTTCTTATGCCCTTAGGTTTCCAACCGTCGAACCATTTTTCAGCGCATGATGCGTTTAGGTCTGGCGCGCAACCTGTTACAAGCGTATCTGCATATGTGGAAATGGCTGCATATTGCACAGGTCTAAAATTACTAAAGCACCCGGGCTATGATCAAGCAGTAGAATTCTGGCAACCTTAGTACAAACTAATCGGCTGTGTCGTCGTCCTCCCAATCTTCAATAGAGTCATTAGAGGTCTGAGAAGCGTGTTGCTAACACAATATTGTCAGATATCTAATGATTAGAGAAAACTAGCGCAAACCAAGTGAGGGTCGCCTCGTAGAGGTGAAATGTAGATTCCAGGTGCCGGAGCGAAGAATTTGGGCTCGGCATGAGGACTTTCTGGTGGGCTGCGCTCTGGAGAAGCAGGAAGAGTATCATTAGGATTGGTAGCAGACGTCGAAGTAGATGTGGCAGGCGGCCAGAAGGCAAATCGAGAAGGGGGCAATGCGGCGTCCTCAGGTACAGCATCGTCATCACACTCTCGCGTCAGCTCGCCTTGAATTTCATAGACTGGATCGTCGCTGTTAGACACGGCAAGTGGCTCCGGGTCCAAAACATTGTTTGAGGAATCAAAATTGTTGGCACCGGCCTGTTGGATGAAAGGTGTCCATTGAAAGTCCAGAGAGTCAAGTTCGTAACCAACATCAAGAGGGTCGGAATATATCGGGTCATCGGCAGGTGAATCAAAATAAACCATTCGATGTGGATTACGGTCAGAGGGCGTGTGAAAGGATATTAGATCGTCGTCGTCAGCATTGGGAGGCGGGTCATGCAGATCACTCAGAAACACAGCAGAATCTGGAATATCTTCTGTAGGTTGCGGGGAGAGCGATGGGAGAGCGAAGACCGGACTTAGGTGGGCGAAAGTGTTCGATTGTGAAGGAGTGGTAGGCAGAAGCTGGTGGCCTGGGATAGAAAACGGAGCATGTTCTTCCATTGGTGGGTCGACGGGTATTGCGATAGTGGAGCATGGTCCTGCAGTAGAAAATGGCAATGGGCTTGAATGTGTTGTTGGATGAGGTTCGTATTCGAGAACTGAAGGGCTCGATTCTTTCAGCATTGTAATAAAGAAGGGATTGTCGTCTTTTGTGTTGCCTGTGGTGGACGGTTCTGACTTGGGTGGTAGAAGTAAACGTAGTGGATGACCAGCGTTGAGAGTAGAAAATGTATCGGCAAGCCACGTTGGAAGGATTGAAGAAGTAGTGGAAGGAGACTGAGGCAACCATCAGTGACGTTCATCTACCAGAACCAGGTTCACACCTCGATAGGATCGGACGAAGACTCATTCCACCCACTATTTCTATTTGTATCGAGCTTTAGAACTGAGAATTGAGAGCCAAGCCGTCCATGGTGAGAGGCATAATCGTCAATCGGAGTCTTGGGAATACTGCTGCCAGAGGCTGAAGAAGCAGAGCGGGCACGACGGCGTTTTGGGGAACGATGGACAACATTCATAGTCTGTATCATGTGATCGAATCGTGTATTGAGGCCCGTGCTCTTCCTGCGTTTTTGTGGAGGGCACGTCAGTGAGTCCGTGTCTTCTGTGAACTGCGAAAAGAGACGCGACATGGAGGTTGACAATGAGTGCAAATCTGGCGGTTTACGTGATCAGTGTGACACGAGTCGTGGCTTTCGCTCATCCTCGATGGGTAAGCTCGGGCTCCCAGTCTATGTAGCGCCTCCCTCTCCACGCCGGAAACGGTCGTTGATACCTGCTCTATGTCTATGTCTCCTCACTTTGCTCTGCTATCACTATACCCTGAGCTCGTCTCAACCCCGACATGGCGTAACTGGTCGTCCGGCTTATCTCATCAAGGTTTGCAAAATATCTTGTTGCCATTCAGCTCAGAGAGTCAAGGCATCTTAGGCCCGAAACGGTGCTGTTGCTTCGGAAAATAGCCTATGCTCTCAAATTGGTGTCGAGGTACTGAAAGCAGGTTGGTCCTGTTTACTTTCTCTCAGCAGCAAGCTAAAGCGAATTGCAGGTGGAAACGCTGTTGATGCGGCAATCGGTAACATTTAGTCAGCAAGCGATAAATATTGACTCCTGTAGCCACAACATTTTGTGTTGGGACTGTCTCCATGTACTCTTCAGGCATTGGTGGTGGTGGATGGATGACGGTCCGAATTCCCCCGGCTGCCGGACAGCCAAAGAACGCGTCTGAAGTCTTCACCATTGACTTCCGGGAGACGGCCCCACTCTTGGCCAATAGAACAATGTTTCCCCCCAACTCTAATACAAGTCAATTTGGTGGACTTTCCGTGGGAGTTCCTGGCGAAATTCGTGGCTTGGAAGAGGCCCATAGAAGGTTCGAATGGGTTTGCGCGCCGAACTATGATTGAACCATACCAGATGGGGCACCCTCCCTTGGAAGACGCTTCTTGAGCCCAGCATCAGGCTCGCACGTGGTTGGACTGTTCAAGAGGAGCTGGCGGACCGTATTACAGTGCGGAGACCACACACAATTAGAATCAAGAGAACTAACAAACTAGAAGTGGTTTCCTACATTGATGCTCGGCAATCCGGATTGGAGTGCCATCTTTGCTCCGGGTGGGAAATTTCTACGCAAAGGAGATGCTATTCAGCGCCGAAACTATTCAAGAACGTTGGCGACCATAGCTTCTGAGGGCCCAGATGCTTTTTACAAGGTAGACACGACAATTTTAGGCTGCGTTGGAGTGGGTTTACGTGCTTTCAGGGCCCCATCGCAGATTCATTGGTCAAAAAAGTGCACGCGACGGGCGGCATTCTTTCACATTCGGATCTTGCAAACTATCGAGTCAAGGTCACCCATGCACTACAAGGAACCTACCGAGGCCGTAAAATATACACAAGCCATGCACCGGCTTCTGGTTTAGGTAATTCTCCAAATATAGTCGCTTTCATGCGCTTGCTCACCCTCACCAGTTTTGCTTCACATGCTCAACTTGATGGAAACGTATCCACCAGCTCCCAGGACGCCGCTCAGCATGCACCGTGTGCTTGAAATACTGAAATATGGCTTTGCGGCACGGTCTGTGGCGTCTTAATTTATTCCTCGGTACCAGTCTTAACTGTGCTAGGACGAAAATGGGAGATCCGGCCTTCGACAACAATGTAACGAGGATGGACGTGATTCCAACCAAAGAGTTTGCGGAGCTCGTGGCTGCGAATATAACTGACGTGAGTGGAGCCGCGCTGAATCTGTCAAACAATGAGCAACATATGCTGCTGTTTACAGGACAGGACGCATGCGCCCTCCTGGTATAATCCAGAATACGAAGTCAAGATTGACCATGGCACTGTCAGTCACTTATGGTTTGGTCCGCCGATGACTCATTTCATTATTGCACAGAGCCATACATCGGTGGTAGACAAGAATGATATGGCGGTCTCCCTAACTTCGACAGTCAACTTGATTTTTGGATCCCAAGTGTTGGATCCAGAGACGGGTGTGATTCTGAATGACGAGGTTAAGATTGTGTCATCCAGATGTGCGATACTGATGGTGATAGATGGACGACTTCAGTGTCCCTGGCACTCCCAACGGCTTTGGTCTTTATCCCTCCCCTTGTAGGTTTTTTGTCGTTGACCACATGCCTGACCATATGGTTCTCAACGTGATAGACAACTATCCTGCACCTGGAAAGCGGCCCTTGTCTTCGACCGCACCGACGATCATCGAGAACCAAGACGGTTCTTTCGCTGCCGCAATCGGTGGGAGTGGAGGAAGTCGGATCTTCGGGGCAGTATTCCAGACCATATTAAACCTTGAATGGGGCCTGGATGCCAGCAGGGCAGTTGAATTCTGGCGACTACACAACCAGCTGTACCCATTAGAAACTGACGTGGACGCGGGCTTCCCAGCAGATCTGGTCGCTGGCTTGCTGCTTCGCGGCCACAACTTGACTGGTCAGTTTTCCTGTCTTTCCCGTGTCCAAATCGGCATTTGCGAACCGAAATAATTCCTTTCCTGTAGATACCGGTCCGGTTGCAGCGGTGGTACAGGTGGTTGTCCGGCACTCAGACGGAGAGATACAAGCAGCGAGCGATTCGAGGAAGAGAGGTATCGCCGCCGGGTATTAGACTAGAGTCCGAGAGCACGTGAGCTAATGGACGTTGACCTGGATTTGTACTTTGCGTACACAGGCCTCTTGACGCTCGCAACATCCTGTCTTTACTTTGGTTCCTTTTCGTCCCTCCCTACCAAAAACCCCGACGGAACTCGTCACGATGATGTACCTGAGCGTCTTTCAGGCGAAGACGCGCTGTATTTTCCCATAGTCAGAAAGCTGCTATTTGTCGCCCAATGCTGAGCTTGCTTGTAGATAGGCTCCCTGGTGCTGGTCGGGCTGTTTTTTGTCGTCAAATATCTTGGCGCTGAATGGATCAACATCCTTCTTGGAGTCTACTTTTCTGTTGCTGGTGTTGCTGCGGTATGGAAAGTATGTCATCCTCCATACTTCTACGCGTTCACATTGAAAAACTCGCCAAGGCCTTGATTGGAGTCGCACGATGGGCGGTGGGAGAGGCCAAATGGAAGGAGAATCCCGAATTCGCGCTCACCGCCCGTGTTGGCAACACCGTTCTGGTCGACGTGTCAATGGCTTCCATTTCCCTCTGGCTATTGCCAGTGGCAGTGATTCCCTCCGCCGTATATATGTTCAATGGCCGCTCAGCGCTGCTCACGGATGTTTTGGGGGTTGCTTTTGCGTCGAGTGCTATCAGCTTGCTGAAAATCGACTCTTTCCGCACCGGTACAATCCTTCTGAGCGGGTTGTTTCTCTACGACATCTACTGGGTTTTTTTCAGCAAAAGTGTGTTTGGGACTTCTGTTGTGAGCGGATTTTCCCGGCTTTCGGCTCGACTTTTGACAGTTGCGTCGGCTAGATGGTGAAGGTTGCTACGTCCGTGGATGTCCCCATCAAGCTGCTCTGGCCCAAGTCGGTCAAGTTTGGCATTGATCGCGGCTTTACAATGCTAGGCCTCGGTGACATTGTCGTGCCAGGAGTTTTTGTAGCATTGGCACTTCGATACGACCATTTCCGTGCTGGCGCACCGACCCATACCCAGTTTGGTCGCCCTTATTTCCACGCAACTCTTGCCGCCTATATACTGGGGCTACTCACTACCATGGCCGTAATGGTGGGTTCATCTAAACCGGATAAATAATGTCAGGGTATTCAATCGCCAACAGCATGTGTTTCAATCGCCACAACCCGCCCTATTATATCTCTCTCCTGCCTGCATCGGAGCTTTCTTTGTCGTTTCTGCGAGTAGGGGACAGCTCAAAACTGCGTGGGCATGGAACGATGATGATGAGGAAGACGCCGCGAAACTGAAAGCGGAATGAACACCTGACTTGGAAGTATATTGATTCAGATTTGGTATTTTTTGTCGCGTGTTTACGGGAGCAAATAAAAAAAAATGCAAGGCCTGAAACGGACCACTTTGGACCAATGGCGTGTGGGTATTTTGACGGATAAACTGTGTCACGTATCCAATTGCGAGAACTCGGCCCGTTTTTGCCTGTATTGTGACACTGTGTGACGCTTCCTTCTGCCTCTGCGTAGACCAACGAGCATGCAGCGCCCTCCGTCGTCGTTCATAGCGCCAGAGAGCCGGTCTTCTCCTAATTGGCCTAACGAGGCAAGAAATCGGTCTACAGTGAGCGCCGACTGGTTTTCTGGGCCTCTTGACTCGCAAATGTTTGCTGCTCTCGATGCCAACGGTGTTCTCCCCGCTCCAACCGGCTACCCCACCTATTCATCGCGACCGAATGTGCTCGTACAGCCATCCTCCCAATGGCCAGCGCCATATCCGCCATTTCCACGACCTCTGCCTCAGTCTCGACCATCTCCCGCATTTCCTCGACACGACAACCTTCCACCCTCCCTGTGGATGTCGCCCGTTACCACTGCGCCAACTAACCCAGAGCCAGTGTTGTCTCCAATCTCACCAATCGCCGCAAAGTCCCCCCCATTCAACGACATCTTCGAGGAAATGTATCCACCTCCCGCTCCAGCACGTGTCTCTGGCTCTCCCGAGCTCACTCCCACTCGACCGGACGTGGTTGAAAGTCCCGTCACAAAGATGTGGAAGTTGTATAGCCATCACCAGGCTTCTCTCCCAAATGCTCAGCGCATGGAGAATATAACCTGGCGAATGATGACCATGAAGCTCAAGAGGGACAAGGAGCGCGATAACTCCACCACCACAGACTCTGTTGTCGATACTCCCAGTCCATCCACAGAAGCTTCTGTGAAAACCGAGCCCATCGTAGCCGATGAGCGTGGTCGTCGCATTGACAAGGGCAAAGCCAAAGTTCAAGTGATAGGTTTTGACGGGCACAACCAAGATGGTGTAGATGACGATGAGTGCGTCGCTTCTGTTTATGTACTTGCTTCATGTCCTTAATTGCTCATTCTAGCGTCATTCCGATGGACTGGCGCGCAATGAGCAGATCTCGTTCTCGTACTATGGACTGGACACCCGCCAGTCGCTCTCGCTCTCGTCAAGCAGACTCATTTGACCAAGCTACCTCCTTCGACAACCGCCTGGCTTTCCCGACCTTCTCTGACACCCGTCGGACTTCACCAACTAAAGGGGCGACAAATAGCATACCAATACCTGGCTCTTCAATGCTCCACGGTGGAAGGCGGAGTCCTCCCCCATATCCTCATTCTGAGCTATCTTCGGTATTTGAGGACCATACAGACAGCGCAGCCCACTCACTCGACACGCGGTATATGCATTCGTTGCAATATCCTCATTCGATGCCAAACTACACTAGCCCCACCTTTGCCCCATCCTCTCTCCCGTCATTCGGACTCCACGGTCTCAGTAGGATACCTTCCTCTACTGGCCATTCTCCGGATCAGCGCGGCTTTCCCAGACATGTCCGCAAGACTAGTTTTGACCATACTGTCTCCAAAGAAGGCACGTTTGCTGGAATTGGAGGCCGCCATCAAGTAAATGGCAAGCCGCTCTCTCCAGACAGCTTGCTTGGAACAAAGCGTCGAGCCGAGGCACCTCATGACGAGAGTATGCTTCGAGCGGATCCGTCTAATCTTGATGGCAATCCACGGGCCTCCTTGTCTCACGACGACCATGCGTTTGAGCAAAGTAGCTCTTTTCCCTCGAGCTCATTCAACTTTTCTTTCCCGCCATATGACGGTCTGTTTTCAACAACAGAGTTTACCAATAACACTCCGTCAAGTCGATTCCCGCACTCGACTTCCAACTTCCATCCCTCCACTTCTACTTCACCCGTGGTAACGGAGGGTCTTTCTGCGGCAGCGGCAGCTGCTTCGGCCGTTATGGCCGAAGGATACGCCCAATTGAGTGCAGCAAATCTGGCAGGCATTGACGACAATTACCGGCAGCTGATGGGCCTTGTTTACCCAGAAAATAGTCGGAGTGCAGTGCCTGCCCAGAACCCTTACACCCATGTCGACCCCACCCAGATTCTGTCGGGGGGCCCCAGCGAAAACGCCTACGCAAGTTTTCATGCGAGTCCGTCAAGTGACGGATGGGGCAATGGGGTTAATTCGAGCTCCAATGCCTCTCCCGAACCCCACAATGTATCCAATGCCTCCACGCCTCCATCGACGGAAGGCGCGTTAAGCGCAACACGACCCAGTGGTCGTAAGTACGCCCCACTTAAGAGTGACAATGCCAAGCGGAAACAATCGCTGCCTACAACGAACGCGAATGGGGCTTCCAGTTCGTCTCCCACTGCACTCAGGTCGTCGACTAGCACTCCCGATCTAACGGACCGAAAACCCGTCGTGGGTGAAGACGGTGAAGTCCCAACATTATGCACCAATTGCCAGACAACAAATACGCCTTTATGGAGGAGAGATCCAGATGGGCAGCCGTTATGTAACGCGTGCGGCTTGTTTTATGTGGGTTTCTGACCTCTTCTTGCGTGGCTTCGTGTTAAACCAGGAACAGAAACTGCATGGTGTCGTTCGACCGCTCTCACTGAAGACGGATGTCATCAAGAAGCGGTAAGTTTGCCAAAGAGGTGGTCACACGTTCCCAGATAACTGAGTGAAATTACAGTAATCGAGCTTCTGGCGCGCCTAGCACTGCTTCACGCAAAGGAGGGGGTAGCGGAGTACCGAAACTTGCTTCGACTGGAACGAGACCAAGGTCATCTTCCAACTCAATATCTGCTGGCTTGGGAACACGGTTACCGGTTTCTGGGCCAAATGGACCTGTTGCTCTAAAGCGACAACGACGGACTTCGACTTCTCAGACGGGTGGGGCAGCACGGTAGTTGATTATTTTTTTCTGGTTGCATGTGGGAGGGGGTTTGCCTGTAGAGTGTACAACCATGCTATAATTTTTGTTGTTGTTTTTGATAGATCACGCTGGCTTGACCCGCTTCCTCCATCGTGGCGCTATTTCGAACTGGCCGGACAACGACGTTAGACGCGTCGTCTAACAACCTCCAGCGGCAGGTATCGCGTAGCGACCTGGATTTCGAGGCTGCTCTGAATGGCGATGGCACGGTTCGTTTGAAAGAGGGCGTCGATGTCAGCCAACTTGGGCTTGACGCATCTCCTTCACCTCGCAGACAACCAGCCACCCCAACCGTCATTCCAGCCACCCCAAACAATCTTAATAGGGACTACGACGTTCACCGTCGTTCCATGTATCGATCTCCAGGCACTTCCAGCAGCCCTGACCTCGCAACCCTCCTCCGCAAAGAGCGCGCCTCTCCAAACGTACCCCCAGTTCCCAAAAGCAAGAACAAACTGCAGCGGACGACCACAAATGGCGAAGAAAAGGTCTGTTTGTTTGTTTCTTTGCAAGGGAAGTAAGCTCAGGACAACCATAGCCTGCCAAGTCGTCTGTAAGGGCAAAGACTAGTGCCTTACTGGGAAAGATGCTGGGCCAGGGTGGAACCATTCGGGAGCGATCAGTACGAGACAAATTCTCTCCTCGTTCGAAAGCCTAATACTTACCATTCACTAAACTTATCAGAAAACGGACGCAGCCCAATACGCATTTCAGGATACCCCGCCCGTGCCACCACTGCCCACCCAACTCCACCGCCCTACGCCAGTTGGTTCTCCGATTGCAGACGTATTCACAACGGGTACTTCATCCACTTCGAAACCCCTCCCTCCAATTATTCGTCAAACCCCATTTCGCGAAGTCAGTGACGACGATTCAATGGTCATTGTCGAAAGCATCCCACGCACTCCCTCCCCTACAAAACTGGTCGAATCGCCTGTTCCACGGTCGAGGCGGAGCCTAAGTGTTGGCCAAGTGGAACTCCAAAATATTGCTGCCCAAGCTCGCAAGCGACAGAGTCCACTAGACGATCTTCAGGGGCAATTGAACCAACTTGCGCCGTCTGCCGAACTCGACTTGAAAGATCCACGGCCAAAGGCGCTTCCTCCAACAAACAGGGCAAAGACCGACCCACTTCCGACTACCCCGCTTTTAACCCTCCAACTTCCCCAATCTGAAGACGAAGACACTGCTATCGTTCCGCCACGATCAACTTCGTTGCAAATGCCTTCACCACGAACGACAAGTCCAAGGGCTGGCCGTCACGGTGCCAGTCCGTTGCGGACAAGAAGCGGCCATTCGTTTGGTGATCCCACCCGAAACGAATCCAAAGACTCGTCACATCTTCGGATACTTCATGGCTCCGCATCGATATCTGAGCCTTCCTTAGTCCCTGTCAGTGATGATGGTCGCATCCGTGAGCATTCGCACATTTGCCTCATGTAATGGGTGTTGACCCCGTTTGCAGTGTCAAATATATTTAGGACCTCTCAGCAGGACCTTTCTGTCAACGATCTCACCCTTACCGCTCGATTGTCATCTTCCAGTCATTCTCCTGCCCGTGGCGAAGAGTCGGAAGAAGATATGGAAACGAGGGGACGAGAACTCGCTGCACGGTGTTGGAAAGAGGACGAGGATTTCCTCAGCAAGGACAAGATTGCTGAATGGCTTGGCGGAATGTGCGTGACCCTCTTCCCCCTCGTTATTCGCATTAACTTGCTTTAAGCGGTGGCGTAAACAAGGTCGCGCTACACCACTACCTCAACTGTTTCGACTTTGCGGGGTTACGTCTCGATTTTGCTTTTCGCCGTCTATGCGCGAAGCTCTTCCTCAAAGCTGAAACCCAACAAGTCGACCGGATTTTACAGGAGTTCAGTCGGCGCTATTGGGAGTGTAATCCTGGCGGGTTATATGGCAGTGCTAGTGCGTTTATTTAGGCCCATTTCTCTTGGTCCAAAGCTAATGAGGCTGTAGACATCGTTCATGCCGTTTCTTACTCACTTCTCCTTCTCAACACCGACTTACATGTCGCTGAACTCGCAACACGAATGTCGCGGCCACAATTTGTTCGCAACACACTCACGGCAATTCAAATGCAGCTGCAACCTTCCCCTCTAACTTCGTCAACTCCCGATCTGGTCCGCGACTCCAATAGCGTTCGAGGCCAATCTTCTGAAGGCGTGGACTCGATTTCGCCAGTCGCTCGTTCGAAGCGAAGCGACAGTATAACAAGTTGGCACAGCGTTTCAAGAGATATAGCCACGAATACGATGTCTTCGCCAGCCGCCAATGGTAGCACCCCTTCTGTCCAAATATCACCACTGGGAAATGAGCCTCGCCCATCCGTTTCCAGCATTGTGTATGGTCGGACTTGGGAAAGTGATATGGAGAGCCTGCTCAAGGTACCACAAAAAGGAATACCTCTTCCGACCACTAATCATATTCTATAGGAAATGTACAACGCTGTCAAGAGCCAACAAATCCTACAACCGCTGAATAGCAGTCGATCCTCAATGGGCTCGTTAAGTCCGGCTCCTTCTGCTATGTTACGTCATCGCAGCCAACGTGGGCCACCGGATCGCCTGGCCACACTCAAGCGTGGTAGCATTCGTGGTCTGCAGTCCATTCTTGGAGCCCAGCAAGCAAGTCCCTATAGCAGTAATAGCAGCATAGACGGGAGAACAAGTCCTTCTCCGAGCTTTGCAACATCCACAAACGATGTGAGCATTTAATGCCTTGTAATTTTCTGCTCGTTGATTCCCATTAATCTTCCAGGTTTACAACTCAAGCTCTTCCTTCTTAACTCCGACGCTTGGCTTTGCTTCCAATCTTTCACACACCATTATCCGCGAAGCTCAAGAAGACGACGATCGCAGCACTCACAGCGACGATTCCACGTCAACGAGCATAAGCATTAGTGACGAGGAACTTGCTCTTTTTGGGAGCGCCGTGGGCCAAAGAGGGAATGCTGTGTCGCAAACAGTACTGGGAGTCTGTGGGCAAGCGTTCTAAGGATAAGGCATGGTTGGATGTGTTTGTCGTCATCCAGAAGGGCGAGCTCAACATGTTTGTCTTTGGGGAGAATGGCATGGGTTCCTCCGGTGCGGTTGGTGGCGGCAATTGGCTGGTACGCGCTTCTTTTACTGCTTAGTTGTTATGAGTTGATCTCTTTTCGCTAGTCGAACGCCAACTCAGTTGGCTCTGTCTTACTTGCTCATTCCTTAGCGCATGCTTTACCGTCGCCAGGCTACAATCGACAACGACCGTATTGTATGGTGCTAACGCTGGCCAACGGAGGGGTCTACTTCTTCCAAGCGGGGACAGAAGAGCTTGTGAATGAGTGGGTGTCAACTTGCAACTATTGGGCTGCGAGGACAAGTAAGGAGCCTCTAGCGGGCGGGGTGTCCAACATGGAGTACGGGTGGAACCGTATTGACGAATCGTCACATGGGCGCGCGCAGTCTGAGTCTGAAGCGGATCCATCAGACGTGATGAGTGTCCGGAGTGGGCGGAGTACGCGAAGCAAGTTTGGATGGCGGGATGGGATGGGCACAATGCGCGGATCAACTTCGCCTTGGGCGGACCGGATCATGATCAACGATTGGAAACCACCAATGCCGCCGACGGTCGCCAGTCCGCATGACGAGGAGACTCAGTTGGAAGCTCTGCGCAAGCACGTGACCTCTTTGAAGCGGGATCTCAAGCAACACAATGAGTACCGTGAACCAATGTCTGCTTTGGTTAGTGCTGACTTTACCACATCGTGGCCGCATGCTGATTGAATTCTATAGTATCAACCTAGGAGTTCGAATGCGACCAAAGCCCAAAGCAACTGGGAAAAGAAATCGCAGTGGTTGTTAACGGAGATCGTCAAGTACGACTCGTACATCGACTCCCTTCAAATGGCCATGTCTCTCCGGCTGAAAAAACGGGGCGAGAAAGGTGATTTTTTGTTGAAAGCGTATACTAAAGTCAAACTAACACTGTCATGCCAGCCCTTGAGCGGGCACTCAACGGTCGTGTCGGAGAGGAATCTCCAGGAGGCAAGAATGGGAGATGGAAAAGCTCGACTGAGCCCGTTGACGAGGAGGAGGACGATGAAGAGCCAATGACGCCGAGCTATGCTTCCCAGTTCCATCGGAGGGAGACTGCCGAAGTGGGGACGTAATTGATACTTATTTTATTCTTTTGCTTTGCTACACTACTGACTTGTGCTGGTATCTTTTTCCGGATTTATTTGCTCTTTGTTGTGGGATAGTTTGTGTGTAATTTTGGATGTGAAACGAGGTTCCCTTGCTTCCACTGCCACCACCACCACTCTCCTTTGGCCCACTTACATGGCGCTTACTTTCCTTTTCGCTGCTCTTCTTTGCGCAGTCGGTGGAGCCTCTGCTGAGTCCCACACAGTTCGATTCGACAATCGGTGACGCGTTTGATTCAACTTTTGATGCGCTTCGTCTAAAAGACGCTTCAGATGTGGTTTTGGAACAGTTGGTAGTCGTTAGCGCTCCAGAGACCGCAATTTGTAATCCTTTGCAGCCCCAGCTAATCCAAGGGGGCGATGTGCTTACCACGACCAGTTACACCAGCGATGGACAACTCTCAGCTGCTATCGCGTCTGTTGTTTGTCTAGTTCTTAATTGCACTGATTCGCATTCCAGATATTTACAGCACGGTTGGGTATCTCCTAATGCGCCTGACTTGCCTGAATGCCCACAGGATCTCAATGCGGGTTCAATGGTGAAAACTGTTCGCTGGTAGAGCTGACCATGACGAACCCGGTTGTCGCTGGCGGCGGCTCTTCTGCAGACATCTCGCTCATAGACCCGTACGTTATTTAAAATGATGAAGGAGAGGCCCCGGGAAGCTTCACTCAAGGCTTGTCCGAAATTTGAGGTTTTTGAGGGCAGAAAATGGTGATTTCCTTGTCCGAATTCAAGGTTTTTCAGGCGAAAATTTTGGAATCCTTGTCCGGTTTTGAGGTTTTTGAGGCTTCTTTCTGGTCAGACTGGTCAGTTCAGTCGGCTCATGGAAAAATATTCTCAGATGAAGGCAGGCACAATGTAAACCTTGCAATCTGTGCTTATCATCGCAAAGTGAAGTCGAAATTCTGACCCAAGCATTGAATTTGGGAGGTGCCATTTTCCCGCAAAATTTCCCCTTTTGGAAAGCACGTGACGACCCTTGTCTGATTTCAGGTTTTTGAGGCCCAAATCGTAAGGTTTTTGAGGCCAAAATTGCTGATTTTCTCGGACAAGGCTTTGGTGGAGCTTCCCGGGGCCTTGAAGGAGGCAGAGGCAAAACTGATGTTGCAGTCATACATTCTCTGTTGGCACTCGCATTCAGTACGTCCTCAGCACAATTTCCTGGCTGGGAGAAGAACATCACCTTCAGATTTTATGGCGGCTGCGACGATGTTCAGACGACGTGTTTGTTGGGCTTTGCGGTCGGTGAGGTTTTAGACTGATATGCTTGCAGGTCAGTCAGCGCAATGCGCAACGGCGTTCAGGCAGCCAGACGACACATTTGTTCAGATAGCTTGTCAGCAGGATAATGTCGGGCTATTTCTTCTTCTGGCTCAGGGCTCATAGCATAATAAACAGGCCAACTTGTTGATCACTTTTTGTCCAGATGAAGATGGGAAGAAAGTATCATCACCCCCAGCGACGAGCCACAAGCATTCCACAGAAATGGCCACCAAGACGGCCGTAGCCCAGTCCAAGACTTCTGATGTTCCAACTTCATCTTCTTTGCCTAGATTGTGCAAAAATACGCATGCACAACGTAGAGGGCTTGCTTCGCATCGGAAACGCAGGGTAGAAGGGAGGCATTAGAGTAGATTTCGTGTACTGTAAATCGCCACAACTGGATTGTGCCAAGTTCTTGTGTTGTGGCTATGTTGGGACACGTCACACGTGATCTAACCAACTTGAGCACCAACTCTCTTTCCTCCAACCGCCGCGATCTCCCTCCCTTCACTCATGTCCGACGCCGGTGTACTCAACCCCATTCTATTGCGGTCCACAACACCAGGCAAGTTTAATTAAGCCTACCTGTCCGGATTCTTCTAACGACGCGTGTGTAGGCCCAAATGAAAAAGGCAAGAGGCCGCTGCTGTTTATGGACTCACACACCTGACTTTTTTTCCCAGTACTGAACTACCTTGAAAGCATGAATCTCGCGGGCCAGCAACTCGATGTACATTCCCCAGCCCGCTCAATTGTTGACGGAGACGACCATGATGAGCCGGTTCGCCGCCCCGTTTTCTCCCCGACCCACAGTCAATCATTGCGTGACTTTATGGGATCACCGTTGAGCTACGGGGCTGGGCGGACTCTAATTCAAGCACTCCATGACGACGACGATGGCGATTCGACTGCTCAGAATGGTCAGCGGTCAGAATTCGGTGGCTTGGTGAGTTTGATAAACAACTTGCGACGCTATCTCACACCACTTTCAGCACCCGGAACCTGGCCCGAATGACGCTCCTGGCCCACACTATCCTTCCTACGATTCTGGGCCGTCGTTTGGCAACTTGGGGCCTGAAGCGCTCAGCACATTCAACAACGTCATGATGAGCACTTGGACGCCATCTTGGGGTCAGCCAGTCGATAAGCCTGTTCCTGATATTCCTCAACCGACACCTGGCACTGCTCAAATGCCACTTCCCGATTCCGCCGCTTCCGTCGAGATACAAGTCCAAAGCCCTTCTAGTCCGCGGTCTCGTGCTGTGCAGTCGAACGGCGGAAAGGCGCCCTCAGAACAACCAGTACGTTTACACAACAGAATTACATCCTTTGCCTCATGCCATTTTTAGCCACCGAAGCCTGAAAGTCGCCCTCTTTCTCCACTCTCTGCACGTTCCCGCGTTACCAAGATGACCGAGAAAGGCACTGCGTACCCGCCACTACCAGAGAGCAGAATGGGAGACGACGATTCCTCTCCTACTCACTCGAAAGCAGCCAAGCAGAGACCCGGTGAGCTGTCGCCACGTAGCTCTCATAAGAATATTGCTAGTGAGCAACATCTATATCTACCAACCAAGCTAATCACGGACTATAGCCCCAGCAAGGTCAACGTTCTCTGGCAACGGAGCACATCGTCCCTTCTCACCTTATCGACATGCTGCAACAACCGAGGATCTACTCCATGCTGCCATTCGTGGCCGTGCAATTGTGCTCCCAGAAGCGACTGCCCCTCCTCCCAAAGCGCCGTCGGCCGCTGCCTCACAACGATCATCTCCGAAGAAAGCCGACTCTGTGGCGCAGTCGCAACGTGCAGGGAGTGTGGCTGATTTCGGAATTGAGCGTGCGCCTTCTGAATTAAACCAAGAAGAGGCTCGTATTGTCCAAGACACCCTGGCGCGTACTCCTCGGACCTCCCACTATACGCCATCTGCTCTTGGCTCGGATATCATGAATTCCCACTACCATGACGGGGAATTGTGCATTCTTTTGCATGAGGTAGACTCAGCGACCCACGAGGTAGTCAAGAAAACCTTACGTAAAGCTATTCGTCAACGAGTCAAGAAACTAGGCATGAAGTACGACAATGAGGTGCGCAGACGATACTTTCTCATTGTCTGTGGTTTGATCATTATACCAGTCCATTAAGCAATACCGAAGAATGCATGATCACGACCCCAGTGTTCATCTCGGTCCTGATGACCTGAACGAGGTATACTTGGAAGGTTTTTTTTTCTATTGGTGGCTGACCGTTGTCTAGGATGTGCCTCCGAAATGGGCAGCGGACATCAAGAGAGAGCTCGTGTTGATGCAACAGCGGATCGAAAGCCTCGGGCCCAAGATAGAGGGCCTCAAGGCGGCCAGCCAGATCGAGGGCTCGGGGTATGAGGACGGTGGAGTTGATGAAATTCCCGCGACGAGAACCATCAATATTCACACTGAACCCACGGGCACACTCGCAGAGTCAGTTTACCATCACCCAGAGACAGAAGTCATCATCGACGAAGAGGGCTCGGATGACGGGACAGAAATGCCTCCACAGCCTCCTATGCGGACTGAATCGGACATGGTGTCGCAGCGTAACCCTGGAAGAGATGATTCGCCAGGCCAGCGATATCTAGAGGAGGAATTCTACAAACTGCGACAAAAGCCTCATGGAACCAACTCTCATCGCTCACACAACACGTGGGAGCTAGCGCGCGAGGATGAGCAGGAGTTTGACGAGGATGAGCATGAGCATGGGCCCAGTCCAACCGGATTACAAACAATTCCTGATCGCGATTCCAATGCTGGAGAAACGATCCCAGCGCATGATAACCCGGCAACATGGAACAACCCTGCTGACATCAGTCATGATTCTCAAGTGCAGCTTCCGCCTTGGCAGCGCATCCACCAACGACTGTTGAGCTGGGCCATCATCTGGCCCCTCACAGATTTCGATACTGCCTTGAACAGCACAACCCGTGGGCAACAAGTTAACGAAGTCGCGCTGACTATTTGGTCTACGCAGACATACAAGCGCTATGTCAGAGCAAAATTAACTGAAAGTCCTCAAGGCGTTGTTGACAGGCTGTTTGTGCCGCCGAATATGGCCGATGCGATCAGTAACGCTGTCTTCAATGGGCGCCACGGTGACGCTTGTGGAATGTTGCGGGATTTGTGGAGTCCTTTTGGACTCGACGGCATGCCAAGGTTGCTCGTCGTTCTTGCCAAACATCGGTCAGACCCCAACCACTGGGTGGTTCACCGGTGGGTCTACCTTTTGTTATTTGATGTAAAACCCTGACATTCTTGGTTCAGATTCAATCTCCCTGAGGGTTCATTAACGACTTATGACTCTTACCCAGAACGCACACTCCCAGATGGCCGAGTAAGTCATAGTGATGATTTTACCGGGACCCTGCTGAAATTTTCTCTAGCCACTTGGGTGGTGGTTTGCCATTCGAGTTGCGTGGCCAAACACCATGTACCCCAGTCCAGACCATCTTATGCAAAAGATGGTCCGACTTCACCGCCCAATGCAGCTGCCAGTAGACAACTCTGTTGCCGCTTGCGGACTTTGGCGGAATATTTTGATGGGCTCGCGGGCAGAGCGTAGTCTGGACCTTGAGCGGTTGCGCGATTTGATCAACACTGAAGTTAAGAATCTGCGCCAGAAGAAGCAGATTGGCAAGTTGTCGGTTGGCGCGCCGCGACCTGTCTGGGACTTGCATTAGAACTTGCTGCTTTATTTTTCCACGATTTTTTATGTTTACGACTTGCGATACCTCCACCTGTTGTATGTAGTAGTAACAGTAGTAGTAGTACTAACTTCCGCCTTGTTTACTGAGTAGATTCTGGGATGAATGGATGCTTTTGAGGATGATGACTTGGATTTTCTACCTTCTGTAATTTCGTGACACACGTGACATAGCAAGTTTCGATTCTACCTCCATGTCGGACGCGCCGACGCTTAGCATCACGCTACTTGGCGCTGGGCAGGAAGTGGGAAGGTCATGTTGTGTCTTACAATACCGGGGTATGTCCACCTTCGTTATTCTTATGGGTTTCTGATGAGACACAAGGCAAAACCATTGTGTGCGATACTGGTGTGCACCCTGCGTATAGTGGGATGGCATCTTTACCGTTCATTGATGAGCTGGATTGGAGCACCGTTGATGCTATTCTCATCACCCAGTCCGTTCTTTTGGTTTTTGCGTGTCTGTTCTGACTGGCCATAAAGTTTCCATCTTGACCATGCCGCTGCGTTGACCTACATCACCGAAAAAGTCCACTTCCATGCTGCCTTTTCATGTCGTCAAGCTTAACTTGATCTACAGACGAATTTCAGGGACGGCAAGGGCAAAGTTTACATGACGCATCCTACAAAAGCTCTGCACAAATTCATGATGCAGGTGCACCGTTTGTCGCCAAATTTGCCATGAAATTGACTTGATCTAGGACTTTGTTAGAATGAGGTGTGTCAATGTTGTTGCCTCCAAATGTTTATAACCACTATCAGTTCGACCTCGTCTGACGCGCTGTTTTCACCAATCGACATGGCCATGTCCCTTGCCTTCATTATTCCTGTCTCTGTCCACCAGCTCATCACGCCTTGCTCTGGCGTTTCTTTTACCCCGTACCACGCTGGCCACGTTCTCGGCGCTTGCATGTTTCTCATTGAGATTTTTGGTGTGAGGATACTCTATACAGGCGACTACTCGCGCGAAGAAGACCGACATCTGGTCAAAGCGGAACTCCCTCCAATACGACCTGACGTGCTCATAGTCGAAAGCACATACGGTGTTCAAAGTCTAGAAGGTCGACCTGAAAAAGAACATCGCTTCACAAGTCTCGTCCATCAAATTATCCGACGCGGAGGCCACGTTTTGCTCCCAACATTTGCACTCGGCCGCGCGCAAGAGCTGTTGCTTATTCTTGACGAGTACTGGAAACGGCATCCCGACCTCCACAATGTTCCAATCTACTATGCTTCTGGGCTGGCGCGCAAGTCAATGGCTGTCTATCAAACCTACATCCACACCATGAACTCCAATATCAGAACGCGATTCGCTAAACGAGACAACCCTTTCGTCTTCAAGTGGGCAAACGGAACCATATATCGAGTTACGCGACTGACTGATCTGTAGGTACATCTCCAATCTACCTCAACCTCGCGGTTGGGAGAAGAAGATCGCTGAAGGACCACCTTGTGTTGTTCTGGCCAGCCCCGGTTTTATGCAAAGCGGACCGAGTCGTGAACTGTTTGAACTCTGGGCGCCGGATTCTCGCAATGGACTTATTGTCACCGGTTATTCGGTGGAGGGTACCCTGGCTAGGGTGAGTCATTGGCGTCATCGACTCAACTTTTACCCTACGTGTATTTGTACGAGAACAATGGCAGATGTTTTTGTTTTCCCTCCGATGCATTGTAGCGAGTTTTCAACCGGCTTATCAATCTCTCGTTTAGGACATCATGACTGAACCAGAAGAGTTTGAGTCGGTCAAGGGAGGGATGATCCCTCGGAAAATTTCTGTGGCGTACATCTCGTTCAGCGCCCATGTCGATTACTCGCAAAACTCAGAGTTCATTGAACTCGTCAAGGCCCAACATGTGGTGAGTGAAATATTATCAGTTCCATCCGAATAACCCGCATTAGGTCCTCGTTCATGGCGAACAGACCGCAATGGCGCGACTAAGGGCAGCCATGACATCCAGATACAAAGAGCGCGACGAGGACGTGAAAATTCATACTCCGCGCAATCTCGAGACTCTGAATCTATCGTTCCGGGGAGAACGAGTTGCCAAGGTGTGTGTTGATGGCTTTTCTTTGGAGAGCCGCGCTGATACGTGAGAATAAGGCGATCGGGACAATGGCTGATAAGCCGCCACGACCAAACGATGTGCTCTCTGGTTTACTGGTGTCCAAAGACTTTTCGTATACGTTGCTGGATCCGCGTGACCTGAAGGATTTTGCTGGTCTGTCGACGTGTACGGTGACCCAGCGGCAGAGGATAGCGCTGGGGGTGAGGTGGGAGCTGGTCCGATGGCATTTGGAGGGGATGTTTGGAGAGGTGGAGGAGGGTGTTGATAAAGAAGGGGTCGCTGTCATGCGGGTGAATGGACAACATTCCGCTTATTGGATGCTCTACTGATTCTTTTTCTCTTCAAGATTATGGGCGCAATTGATGTGAGGCATACGCAAGAGCACGAGCTTACTCTGGAGTGGGAGTCGAGCGCGAGCAACGATATGCTAGCGGATTCAACACTGGCACTCATCACAGGGATCGAGAAGAGTCCTGCATCCGTAAAACGTGTGTAGCCTATTTTTTTTTCTTTCTAGGTTAACTCGAGTTTGGTCCAGTTACTTCACACTTACATAGTCATGACCACCCGCATTCTGATCACAATGATGCGATACGACGGGAGCACAGAATCGCGTGGTTCTTCGAAGCACATTTTGAAGAAGTTGAGCTGCACGAAGGAGACGAACTTGAGCAGGGCGAGGATGTCAAGGGGTGCACACTGGTGGTGAGGCTCGACGAGTCTCTAGCTGTTATTGATCTAGATGCTTTGGTGAGGGTCTCCTTCTGGGTGATTTGCTGGACTAATTCAACCATAGGTGGTTCATTGCTCTAATGAAGCACTGAAAAAGCGTGTAGAAACCGTGTTAGATATGGCAGTGACTACGGTCACGTCGCTTGGGCAGGCGTTCGTCTCCAAAGCGTCTGGACTTGTTGAGGGAGGGCAATCTACTGAGGACGAGACGGAGCTCGAAATCCATGATTAGCGGACGTTGTCTTACTGTGCCATCTTTCAGTTCAATTTTCGACCTTCTCTTCCAATGGCATCCAACTCAGAGTCCGAGATCGAAGACAATACCTCAATCTTGGAACGGTTTGAATTACTGTACAAAGCGCTTTGGCCTGCATCCCAGACTTCTCTAGAGGTCGAGCCGCAAGGTTTGCTCGTGCGAATCGATACGTTGGCCCCTATTCCAGCAGCACAGAACATCAATGAAGAATTGGCCCGAAACGTGGAAGAGACATTCCAAAATGATAGCCAACATGTCGATAAAACCGGTGCAGAAACACCTCTGCGCTTCATCGCTTTGTGGCAGCATCCAGAGCTTGCGGTTGGTGCCCTTGAATACCATCTCAGTCAGTTTAAAGGGAAAGCGACCTTCTTGATCAGAGAAGAGTATATTTCGGCTATGGATTACATGGTTCACGCCGTGTCCCATGGGCACGAAGGACGACCCAACCTATAGCCCTCGTTTCTTTGTGACTGGACAGCCAGGAATTGGCACGTATTAGCACCCTCTTCTGTCTTTGGCTGAAAGTATAGCTAGGCAAAAGCTTTGGTTCTTATTACTTCCTCTTCCGTCTTCTTGCCTCTGGACAGAGTGTTTTATATTACCACACCCCAGATCTCGCAATCCGTTTCGACAAACATGGCGTCCGCCAAATCCCCTCCTACCCTATCTCCGAGAGAAGCACCGTTGAAACTTGGGTGCTCATTGACGTCGATGACAATCCAAAATGGCGAGCGCCAGTTGCCCTGCGGCTATCGCACTGCATTGTGTGGACGTCGTCGCTTCAAGGGCAGCGTATGAAACATTTCAGCAAAAAGCTCGCGGGAGAAAGGTGGTACATGCGCACGTGGAATCAACGAGAGATCGAGGTTGTTAGGTGAGCTATACCAAACTATCCAAGACCCACCATATAACGCTGCCTTGAGTAATCAACTGTCTCTCGATTTGACCGAGACCCAGCGACGTTATACCATCGGTGGACCAATACCTCGAACTCTTTGGGGTGGCGAGAAACTCGAACCTATCAGTATAGACAGAATGATTCGTGCATTCCTTCACGAGGAAGTGTTCAGGCTCTCCGTGCTTAACTTCGACGACCAGATAGACTCAGATCACCCCTTATTGGAGTTATTCCGTATTGAACCATCCACCGACCCCAGCTCATCAGCTATCATTCGCACTACCGCTTCGATCCAATTTCTCTCCCCTCACATCGCACGACGAATGTCGGTCATCGCCGAGGAGTTTGGCACCAATCTCCCAGACGAATGGGCCAACTTTTTCAACGCTCCCGCCACGCGCTCGCTGCTTAGCAGGCTAGATTTCCGAGGGCCTGCTGTGATTCGAGGCGCACTACCGCCAGAGGTTTTGGGAAATGCCGCCACTGTCGACGTTTCGAGGAGTTTCCATTCGCCACTTCCATCGAACCTTTGTCGTATCCGCAAGGAGCCAACCAACCTATTACAGTCGTGAATAGCATAATTGTTTCTGGACCATATGATGACCAGTTTCTCGTCCGTCTGAGTCTGAAAAAAAACACGACCCGTCTTGATTTGGAGCTTATGATTACTAGGCGCCGGCTGATCGCCGTCTTCGACCTTGCTTGGGCTTGATTATTCAGTTGACAGTACCAACTTTCTTTTCTCCCTTGTAGGTGTGAGTCGTGCGTTGCGTGACATAACTTTTGACTCGACCTCCCCAAGTCATCGATATCGTGTCAAGTCGGAACGGGAACGCAGGCGAAGGCCGTGTAAGATTCGGGTAGTGGGTGCGTTTATGAAGACTATAAAGCTTCCGTTGGCTCACGATGTAAGCTAGCGCAAGTTATTCAATGAACCCGTTTGATCTGCGACTCATGGTCCAGCTTGTGGATCTTCCTTGCGACGATCCAGATCGCATCCTGAAGACATACTGCAATATATTTAACGGGCTTCCAACCCTCCTCGTTCTCAAGGGGACGTGTTCGACACATCTACCAAGGTCTAGACAAGACGGTCAGTCTATTTCTCGCCAGACATGATATGGGCTCTCAAAACATGCAGATTTTGTTCATCGGTGGATGTGGAAACGACTATAAAGCCCTCTACGACATCCTAACACCGCTCATGGACAATGCGCGCATCGGAAAAGTACGCGACATTGACTCAACAGGAGTTATTGACGCGTTATACTTAGGCTGTCGACCGGAGCGAAGGGTGGTCAACAACAACCGCAGAAGGCGAATATCTTATGGAGGTGACTTTGGCAACGCATGTTGCTGTGGTGAGTTTTCGCGCATTGCCAACAATAATATCATCCATTTTTTGAAGACGGAAACAGTCGCGCCTACCGACTTCCACCACTTACGACCGTGCGACACGAAATTCAAGATTGGCACCCCCGTTGAATGTGTCGTGGGGCTGCACTGTTTGGGGTATCGAAGCCTCGTCATCGACAATATCTTGGAGATGTGGAAGGTGGTGCGTATTCTTTTCTTCCCTATACCGCGACAATTGGCTCAGTGAACGCAGCGGTGGATCCTTCGAGCGACTAGAGTCGTCAAGTTTGCTGGGGCACCACCGTTTGGAGTACATTTACCGCCACAACTGTTCTTACCAATAATGTACTCGGATTCAACCACAGAGCGTTGTGCGTTGAACATCCTTAATGGGGTATCGGTTTCTATCTGAAGCGGGAAGAAATGTACCGTTGTTATTCATGTCGTCAATCCCAACTCTTTTTCTTGCAGGAAATCCTTTGATTCAGTCATTTCATGCTTTTCTGTGTCGTATGAGTGAGGAGAAGATTGATATAATGGTAGGTAAAATCTAGCGCATAACTATTCTATCGTTGGGTGAGCAATGGTAAAGTACGCGCTCCCGGTGTCGTTGTATGCCTCGATGCTGGTCTTAAGCAGTAGTTCCCAATCTTTGTCCACTGTGAAACACTGAGTATGAATTCCCGGAAGCTAAATGATACTCATACCATTGCCTTGCTGAATTGCCATGGGCAACTCATCCTTCACCATCTCTTGCATCATCTTGGTCCACCGTTGCCTTCTCGATATGGATACACACCCTTGTATATGTCTTCGGCTCTTGGCGACGAATAGCAAAGCCAGCGTTGGCCCCACGCGAGAACAACCCGCACCTTGTCGCCCCCATATCCCAGCCGGTGTAGCTGTCCACGAAAGGCTTCTGTGGCTTGTTGGTATTCGCCCTCCAATAGTTCACGTAAAAGGGAGTCTTCATCGTACATTGCCACATTTAGAAGCTATCAGATTGCTCGTTAGTTACTTTTTGTATGGCGTAAACCAAGCAATTACCTTGTAATCCTTGAACTCGTCTTGTGGAGAGGTTGATTGCATTCGCACGAGAAAACTGTTTGTCAGTTAGTTTTTTACGACTGTTGAGGAAACCTACTAATGAGTGTCCAGGTAATTGTCGGGCTGGTGTCCCAAGTCGGCATAGTAAATAGCCCAGCGACTAAGCGCAAGACACCAGTCATGGAAAAATTTGCCCATCCTTTCTTCGCACCGCTGAGCTGTCGTCCCTATCGCGGCCCATTTCATTTGGTGGAGTCGGCATTCGTCTCGATGCTTCTTCCAGTGTGCTTTTTGGCAAGTCGTTACAATAGCGAGCGATTCGACACCCTCCGCACTGCTTCTGAGGTTGTCTCTGGTCACAGTTGCTGCACTGGTAAGACCTCGATGTGACGACGAGAGCCCAGGGGTCCTCGCTGGAAGATGAAGATGAAGCCATATTCAGACAAGGTCTGCCGAGTTGAGTGAGTCTATATAGCGTTGTCGAATCAGTCTGATTAGTGGCTGGCGCGTTGAATTTCAGCTTTGGTTGAAGCTGCTTACGATTTGCTAGATAATATGCGTCAGTCAGTTCAACCATCTGAGTAAATAGGATGACGCACTCTTGCTGTTGGGTGTGCTACTCATGGAGGATCTTCGGAAGCGTGAGTCAGGTCACAAGCAATGATGAGTCAACCAGGGCACCGGGCCGTTCCGATGATCATCATCAAAAGGTGCACCGCATTCGACGCAGATTCTTACGTCGCATGTTTCTCTCAGAGCAATGAATGTTGCGAGAAAGGGTGTGCCGCGTCTTCATATCCTGGTCTACGACACACCCATTAGTTTCGTTGACGATCCTTCAGACTCGAATGCACCTTTTTTCCGTTTTGGTTGGTCATAAAAAATTTGAGCGTACTGAGGGTCATCAACATCCATTAACGATCCTCTTTGGTGTGGTAGCCCACAAAAACGTACATGGGCGTATATGATGGCGATAGCGGCTGCGGATCTTGTCCGATGGTCAAACTTGCCATCGAATTATGTGACGACGGTGTTACTCCCTCCTCCCATGTTCCTTCGTCAGTGTCTTCGCTTCAGCCAGCGCTACACCGCTTCCTCAACCACCAAAATGGTGGGGCTGGCGGTCGTCTCCAGCGCCACATCGACCTGGGCCTTTCAGGAATGGACAAAGGTGAGAAATGGAACGGTAATCTAGCATTGTTCACTAACCTTTCAACTGCAGTCCGATATTCGACGCCGAGTGGGGACAGCGTCGCGTGAGGAGTTTGTTGTAGTGCAACAGGGTGACACGGTGCGTTGCATTGTCTCCACCTTCTATTTCTTCCTGATGTTTCTGCAGAGCGTCATGGTGCCCACCAAATCCATCCAATCCATTAGCATCCATGGCGCCCTCGGTTCCCCAGACGCCACGCGATTCCCCCAGAACAACATCGCGGTGGACATCTTGATGGCGGGTGCGAAAATTGGGTTACAAAGCGCTGGGAACGGTCAGTTGACAGTCGACGAGAACGTGAAGGCGAATTCGCGCTCGAATGCAACCATGAAAACGCAAGAAAACGACGATGGAGGCAGCCTTGACCGTCCTGCGGCCTTGCTGGACGTCAATGCTGATGTCGCAATTGTCTTGCCTCCGCTCACCCATTCTGGGTCTACTCCCGCTCCACCGAGTTCG